TGTCCTGCTCTGCAGCCTCGCTGAGCTTCGTATAGCGGCTCGCTAACCGGTTCTTCGTGTGCTGGTGAATCTCCAGAACAGAACCAGCAGATTTGCTTTGATATGATGTCGTCAGCCCGCGTAGATTTACACAACACCACCTTAAAATACCTCAACAAATATAAATATTCTTAATTGATAATAATCAGGAAAGTACAGCAAAGAGTTTAATTCATTCTCAGCTTCTTCTTCTTCTCCTCGATGTCTTTAATCTGCCGACCTTAAGGGCGAAGAGGAAGGATTCCTGTTCACAACTGTGCAACGAAAGACCTGTGACTTTTCACATTTGCAGTAACAGGGCTCAGGATTGTGTCGATCCGAAACACTGTGGTGTATATCCACGGACAATGAAAGGATAACACAGGTCTTCATGTCTGTCCCACTGCAGGGCCAGACTGTGGCACAGCCGCTGAATGATTCAATGAATCACAACAACAGCGACTGGTCAGCTTTCCAGTATGAAAAAGCTACATGGGAAATGCTGAAGCTAGCTCCACAGCAGCGACTGAACTTTCAAATTACAAACAAGGGGGTCGTTTTTTATATTGACCACTAATTAGCATGTAGCGTCATTCTGAAAGACGGAAAAATAAATCTTTTAAAAAAGAAATTAGAAAACTTGGTTAAAGGATACGCACTCCATTGACTCCAGAGATCTTGAAGTCATCAATGAGCTGGACGATGGTTTCTCTGTAGGGGTCAGAGGGGTCGCTGTCTCTCACCTGGAGGGACAGACAGACTCAGACTGGTTACCTGAGCCACAGCCCACGTTGTTGCCGTGGTTTAGAGAAAGCATAAGAGTGCAAACACTCACACATCGCAGCAGTTTGATCTCGTCCAGGGCCGTCTCAGTGTAATGAGGAGCGCTCTTCACCACTTTCAGCGCCACAAAACGCTTCTTCCTGAATCAGACACACATTCAGATCATGTGACAACAGAAACTGTGCAAAAAGCCAACAAACTGTCTTCAAAACATCATGTGTGCCGTACTGCAGATCCCAGCAGAGCCAGACGGTGGAAAAGTGTCCCCAGCCTAGCTTCCTGACCACGTGGTACCTCCCGTTAAACAGATCGCCAATATCCACAGGGTAGTATCCACCTGGAGCGCATGGAAAGAAGAAACGAGAGCTTTTATTTGATTTTAAACCCACGTCAGATCTTTACTCTTGCAGGGATCCAGTATGAACAGAGGTTTCTCTGATAAATTCTCACCTTTACAGTAATCAGACGGGTCCTCCTGTTCCTCATCATCAGAGCCCAGCAGCTGGGCTGGGGGTGGGGTTAACTCTGGAGGGGGCGGGGTCATAGCTGGAGGAGGTGAGGTCAGCTGATGGGTTGCCGTTGGCATCACGGGAGGCAGGCTAATGGGAGGTCCCAGAGAGTCGAGAGAGCGCATGAAAGAGGGGGAGGAGGAGCAGACGGGGGAGTACAGGTGGGAGGAGACACTGGACGTAAAGGTCACTGAGGTAAGCAGGTATGGATCGGGTTGGGAGGGGCTTAATGGAGGAGTGGGAGGAGCTTTGGCAGGATGCGTAGCAGACACTGACGGGGACTTAGAGGCATTGTGGGTAACCGTGTGCGGTGAGGTAGGAGGCGATTTGTAGAGCTCCGTTTGACCGTCTGCTGTGACGGACTGAAGAGTTCTGTGAGGCGATCTGGAGGAATCCTGGGTATTATTACTCTGAGTAACAGTTGGCAGTGGTTGGCTGGGACTGTGAGGAGAATGTGGAGAAGCTGCAGGAGGTGACCGGCTGCAAAACTTGTAGCTGCTGAGGGTAGTTTGAGGAGGTACCAGGGGTTCCTCGGGGGAAATTATTGTGCCTAGAAATGGTGATGAGATCTGGAGGGGAGGTGGTGACGGTGTACGGGGAGCATTCAGCGCTGCGATTTCAGTGGTTAACGGGGGTGTTCGTATGGGCTCCTGCGGAGGTTCTTGGTGGGGTGCCGTGGTGGTTTCATAGGGATCTTCTGAACATGCTGAGGTGTTTTCATGTGGCGTGGTTACTTCTGGAGTGCTTCTGGGATCATCTGGAGATGTTGACATGTTTTCGTGTAGTGTGGTTGTGTCTGAAGCGCTTCTGGGATATTCTGGAGATTTTGATGCGCTTTTGTGCAGTATGGTTACTTCTGGAGTGCTTCTGGGATCTTCTGGAGATACTGACATGTTTTCGTGTAGTGTGGTTGTGTCTGGAGTGCTTCTGGGATCTTCTGGACATGCTAACGCGTTTCCATGCGGCGTGGTTGTGTCTGGAGTGCTTTCATGGGGTGGCAGAGCGGTCTGTGGGAGTGCTGTGGGTACCCTGCTGTCAGCATCCAGAGTCTGAAGGTTACAGAGGTCATCAGACCTGATGGTAAAAGAAAGTAGAGTATATTGAGTGGATTGAGAATACACGGCAGAAAACTCCCAATAAAAATAAATAAATAAATAAAAAATAGAAAATTCATAATCGGCAAGAATTATGGGGACATTTTTTAGACATTTAGTTTGCTGACAAAAGTATTAAAGAAAAGGCAGCTACGTGAGCCCGATCAGGATTTCTCTTATTTATAAAATGTTTCATCCACCAAAAGTCAAAAATGGACAGTGACAAAAATCCTGCTTTTTAATTAGATTTTAAATTAAATGCCTTTGTGTCTCTCAAAGGGCTAAAAACACCAATAAATGCAGAGATTTCAGTTGAATAAAGTAACAAAGACTCTGTGTCTCATCATTATGCAGCTTTTATATACGACCAAGAGACCAGTCGTGCTTATGTGCAATCAAAAGGCACATTTTTAGCCAGGAAAACCCCAGTTGATAGAATAATAACAAAAATATTAATGATAATTTCACAGTGTTCAACCATGTGGAAAGATTAAAAGACTTCGAGAAGGGAGTAAGTCATGTGTAATGAGACTACTTCAAAGAAATTTGAAAAGCTCCTTTAAATCTGGGAGAAAATAAACCAACGAGGATGAACCTCAGTCGCTGAAATGTCACAAAGTTACTGGAAACGTTTCAGGAATATGAACTCTCAGACCACACGACAAATCAGGTGAAACCTCGTACACACAAAAAAGATGCGGACAGTAAAATATGAAGGTTGAAGGAGTCTTTTTGACATTTGGATGAAGATTTGGAGAAGTTTATTTTGTGCTTTTTGAAATGAAGCAGGTGTGTGTGTGTGTGTGTGTGTGTGTGCGTGTGTGTGTGTGCGTGTGTGTGTTTTGTTTGCTGGTGTACAAACTGCCGTGGGTGGAATCAGAGAAGCAGTTTGTTATGTTTGTTTATGTAAAAATAATTTGAAGAACTTTTGAAAACAAACAAACAAACAAACAAACAAAAAGACTAAACCCTTAGCTCTGTGGACTGGTACAAGCTCAGTAATTATCTCATTCTGGACACATAAACTGCAGAGATCAAATAACACAAACACACAGACAGACACAGACAGACACAGACAGACACACACAGAGCTGCTTTCTGTCATATCTGAGTCATGGACATTGTTGAAGTTTGCCCGAGCTGCACTGAAATAGACTGAAGTGCGCACGTGTGTGTGTGTGTGTGTGTGTGTGTGTGTGTGTGTGTGTGTGTTGTGGGATCATAATTCAGTCTCCGGTTCTATTATTGGATCTGAGTGTCTTCAGACTGAGACCAAACCTGTTTCTGTCAGCGGGACAGCAGCTAGCTTAGCAGGAAGCCTGCAGCAGGCTAGCTGCTGTTTCGCTGACATTTCGTGTGTCGTTATGTGACGAGCTGTTTATCGACAAGACTCACAGCTCAAAACTTTCACTGGAAATCTGTCAGTCATCATTCGTGGGCAGTTAAACTCAGTAAATACCCAGTCTGATTGAGTTAACTGTCACGTGTGTTGATGCCCTCACTTCGGTCTGGCAGGCAGCTCTTCAGTCATGGAAAATTAAAGGTCATTACTCAGCCAGCGCAATGCCAACCATGAACCATGAAAGGAGACATCTGCTTCATCTTAACGTCTGCGTTACTGTTTCTTCAGTTACCTGAAAAACCAAAGCTACCAGCAAACTTTGGGAAACTTGAGCTTGTTCTCCATCACTCCAAATACTTCACATGGAAATCAGCACCTACTAATCAACTCATTTTCAATCAGACCCAGGTAGCAGATAGCAGACAGCACGCTGGATGGCTCCACAGAGACTTTCCCTTCTGTGCACAAATAAAAACTTTGTTTGTCCCTGTCAAATATTTAAAATACTGCCAACCACCAGTGCTACCCCTCAGCCTCTGAGTAGACACACCTATGGGATCGATTTCTAAATGATACATCACCTTGTTATAGAGTTATTACATTCACAAGTTATTCAGAAAACTTGACCTCGAGTTCCAGATCACTGAGATTTGAACTCCTTCGAGATGTTTAGCAGACACACCTAAGGTGCTACTACGTCACCTCGTTTTTTAGTCATCACATTCACAAACTTGGGTATCATCACCGGCTGCCTGCCTGACGGTGACAACAACACCCCGTCAGCATTTTACGGCTCAGGAGTAAAAACACTAAACATTTGACGTGGTAGCTGTTCTTCAGTTTAAACCTGCAGAGGCATAAAGTCAAAGGTAAATGGTTGGGAGGTCATGTAAACGAGGCTCTGTGTAGTCTCCAAAACAGCCAGTGACTCGATAGCCTCAGTGTGAAACGGTAAAGTACTTTCACCTGCATTCTTTCTAATGACCAGCAGGGGTCGACTCATCAGAAGTCTCACTAAACACAACCGGATGTCCAGTTTGTAACATACGGTTCCATGATCAATGACAATGACTACCATACACTGTGAGTTATCAGTGAGTACCCCTGATAGCTACAAGTACTGCCTCTCAGCAGGCTTCCTGGAGTTGGCCAATCAGAAGAAAATGGGCTTTTGGGGAAGGTGGTCTTAAAGAGACAGGAGCTAAAAGACCACATTTAGACATGAGGACTGAGGGAGCTTCTTAAACTGCATAAACATAAACAGCTGGATATTAGCAGAACAGAAACACTCAGGTGCAGATGTTGCACTCATTTTGTTAGGGTCCGTGTCCACAGCGAGAGAGATTGTTGTTGCTAGGTTACAAAAACCATCTTCTTTAAATTTTTCTTCTCTATCATTAACTACAGTGTTGATACTGTAAGTCACGACCTTTCTTGAATTTAAGTGGTCGTGAGAGAGAGAGAGGTGCCAGTGAAGAGCACAGAAGTGTTCCCAGAGATGGACTAAGAGCACCGCGAGAGCAGAGCAGAGGGGGAAAAAGAAAAAGAGTGTGCCGAGGCTGTTTTTGTGATGGATTTCAAATACCATCAACGCAGAGATTCAAAGGATTTATTTTCTGTAAAAAAAAACAAAACAAAACAAGAAAGAACAGATGACCAAAGAAAAACAGTCTGTGCACTCAGAGCTTTACTCTGGTACAGCTGATCTGCAGTTTTCTATATTTCTGCACAAAGATGTCATAGAGGTAGAAATAAGAACCATATTAACCAAATTCAATATAAATATTGGTCTTAGCTGTTGATTCATTTACATATAAATAAAAGGGAAACAATATTAACCTGTGCTTCAGTAACTGGTGCAAACCCATCGATGCTGCGATAACTACAACTAAACATAACTCTTGATTAGTCCTGCACACCGGCTTGCAGGAGTTTTTAGTCCAAACTTGAGCTCATGTAACTGACGTGAACGCCTCACACACTCAGTGTGTATGCAGATGCTTATTTTCTTGGTGCATGATCGACTTTCTCCTATTTCAGGTTTCCTGAAATTATCCTTCGAAGTTTGCTGCCATGATTCAGAATTCAGAAAACAAGCCCAAACCATGATACTACTGCCACCATGTTTCACAGATGGGATTAGGTTCTTATGCAGTGTTTTCCTTTTTCTACAGATGATGCTCCAAAGTTAAACCTAAAAAGTTCTGTAACAGGCTCATCCACTTACAAACACTGCTCAAACAGCCTTCTGTTTCCTCCACATAATGTGCACCGACGTTGCACAGTGATGACACACTTATGAACATTAACATTAACATGGGTTATGATAACCACACTTTGATAGATCTATGACCTGCAAGGGGAAAAGCGAGGATTACTCACACCTGATTGCAATCCCACTGAATAAAAAACATCTGATAACAAGTTCATCTTCAAATCTGCGGCTAATCCTTCACACACTTTCACCTTCCCCTCACAGATAAATAATACTGAGTCATTTTCTGAAAATAAATCAACAACAAATTACAATATTTGCATTTTATCCATTTAGTTAGGTTATTTTTGTCTAGTTTTAGGACTTGTATAACATCACTTTCATGCAGAAATAAAGAAAATCTAAAAATGTTTCCCCACAGCTGAAGATGCTGGTTAAGTTCAGACAAAGGGAAAAATGAACAGGTTGGTTCTAATGTGTTTCTGTGATATTAAAGCATAATAGCACATGAAGCAATCATGAACTTTAAAGTTACACAAATTAGAAAAAGTGAAAGCTCATTAAGACACCAGAGATGATTCTTTGATAAGATAAATGAGCTCAAACTTTTCAGAACTTGTTAATATGACGCGATCAGGAAATCAGATTAAGGAGTAAAAATCAATGCTCTAAATGAATGGAGGTGACACACAGGAAGTTAAAACCAATTTTCTTGGAGTGCACCCACATGCACTCACATTAAGACAGGCCTCTAAATTTAGCCTGTGAGTTTGTGTATGGGATAAGCAGCTGATCCAGTCTACAGTCTGTGCTGGTTTCTTACCGGTTCTCTTCGGCTCGGATTCTCCGGTGTTTCTTGCCTCTGCGGCGGTGTTTCTTACCCGTGCCGGCAGGGTTTCCGGATCCGGCACCGACTGCTGCTGAGAGGAGGAACAACGTCTTTAAAATACATCATTAACATAAGGTTCAATCACATAACAAACACCATTAAAATGTGAAAATCCAGTGATGTGAGCCTTCCTGTTAAAAATAAAATCATCATAAATAAATAATCAAAATACTTTAAAATAACACTATCATAACTCTGATAAGTCTGTTTGATAAATATTAGATAATTTAGATAAGCATTATGTTATCAGCATTTTACAAAAAGTAATCTTTTGTATATTGTATAGTTTAAGTAAGATGTAAAACTGCCAGATTACATGTTACTGTTTATTCTGATGTTTGATACTAATTAATAAAATACAAGAAAACAGTACATAGCACACACACACATCACTGCTACAAATATCCAACACATTGTAACCAGCTGTCATGCATATATTCCCTAGATTCACGACAAAACAGTAGAACACAAACCAAACACCATTCATAAAATTCTTAAATTTGGGATCTTTAATAGTTGTGTAGCACCTACACAACTATTAAAACAGAAAACAGCACCGAATGATGGTAACCTGACACAACCCTACAGTACGGCCTGAAAACACATAACACAAGATTGCACGTTTATGACCGAAAACCATAACTCCAAAGATCCTGTTCTCCATAACCCTGAACCCGGGATGGGGTGGTGTAGAGGCGACAATCATGAAATTCATTAGAGATTTGAGTTAATGAAGTGTCACCTGGAGGCTCAATCGTGTGCCGAATTTATCAGCAGACGTTTTTATTTAAATTGAGACTTAAGTCAGGTCGGTGAATTCGACAGTTATCTGATAAAGAGGCAAAACCGCTTAAATGCAACATTTTTCGAATGGAGTCTGGCATTGAAGTTGGCGGAACCCGAAACCCCAGTCCGTGTGTGTCACAGCCTGGTACCTCAAGCTGATGCGAGCTAGCTTAGCATGTTAGCGTTGACTCCAACTGTATCGAGCCGGAACACCGAACTAAATCCAGTCTACTTTACCTATCAGCATCTCGGCTCCCGGTCCCCAGTCCGAACCGGCCAGAGAGCGTCTATCCCGTCCGGACTGACGTGCTCTGACGGCTCTCGAGCGTCCTCGAACCGGTCGAGCTTCACAAAAAACAGCCGCTGGACTCCGTAAACAATGCGGCTGCAGGAGGTTCCGAAAGTCCAAAGATTAGATCGGGTCGAGGTGGATCCGCACGGTGCAGCGTGGTTACCACGAGCCGCTGGCCTGTCCGTTAGCCCGTTAGATAACAGCTGTCGGTCCGCTGTCAGTTAGCCTGTTAGCTCCGTTAGCTCCAGCTGCAGATCACCAGCTGGTCCTGCTGAATCCGCCCCGACCTGTTCGTCTCTGAGCCGGTCCAGAACCTGGTCCGCACGCTTTATTTGGGTGTGTTTAATTCGCTGTCTCGGTCTTGCCGTTCATGGACTCAACAGCTGCTGACAGCCTGACACCGGACACCGGGCTTTACGCATGCGCAGTGACCGGCCACGAGCTAAACTGGGAGCAGTGGCGCATCTAGAAGGTAATTTAGGGTGTCTGTGATAACAAAACAGCAACAACCCAGTGCAGCTTCTTATTGTTGATGTGCAAAAATGACGTCAGAGAAGTCAGAGGAAGTAAGCTGAATCTGCTGCTGATGCTGATGTTGGGTAACACCTGGGAGACCAGGATAGGATACATGTGTACATAGTTACTATTTCTATTTATTTATCAGTGTCTAAGTGTCCTTTAGCACGATGCTGCTTTCTCATGGCATTCCTGTCAGTGGGTGAATGCGAGACACATTGTTAAGCACTTTGCAGGACTGCTGAGATTAAACGGTAGAATATATGCACAGCATTCACCGTTTAGGTTTAAGCCACAAAACTCCTTGGCTGTGGTTTCTGTTAAAATAGACCCTGTCGCAATGTTAGGCAAGCTTAGAAAGAAGATCTGTCAGAAAGCTTTTCTTCTTCTTCTTGCTGTCAAAAAGTGCTGAAGGCAAACTTCTCCCATGTGTGCTGGGATGTTGTTAATTCACTATCTGTAATCACAGCGGGATGGCAGGCTTCATTTTCCTCCAGCATATGCTGCAGCAGAGCTGATGCTGAGGCAGATTCCAGTTGCATTCATCAAGAACTTGAATATTGTGGGTTTTGTGGACACAAAATGCTTATTCATCAAAGGGCTTTCGTCATTTCTCACATTTTTTGTCTCATCGACGGGAAATTGATCTCTGTGAGCCATGCTCAAGTTCAAAAAGTGCATCTGGACATCAGAGGTGGTTTGCCAGGGGAGCTGTAATCCAGGATGCACATATAAGAGCCAACACACACACACAGCTGGAATATTAGCACAAGTATTTTTCTCTAGAAGTAGTTTCAAATATTTTTGATCAGTAAGGATGATCACACATTCTTACTGCCCTTTGTTTAACTGAAAGGTATCTTGTCACGGTGCCTTATTATGAATTTAAATAAAGGTTCAATATGAAATATTGTAATATATGTTACCATAATCTCCGTTACAAGTGAGATCATAAAAGCAGCTGTAATAAGGCAAAAATATAACAATAAATGATGCACACTGCAGCTGTGCCAGATATTATTTCAATATGGAGAGATCATTCAGAAGAACTGAACAAAATCTATTGAGACAGAGAAATTAATTCATCTATTTGGCCACTGGACTCTGATGACCCATCACGGCAGGACCCCCGTAGTTTAGGTCCTGATGGTGGTGAAGATTAAGATGAAGGCTTGGGTGGAGTGAGTAACTCGGGTGAGGTGAAGATGGGAAGGAGAGTCTGAAAGGGAGAATGTATCTCAGTGCTCTTCATCAAAGCATGCAGAGTGGCGGCTGACTGGGTCAAAGAAGGCGGCAAGAAGATGACTGGACTGGTGTAATGATGAAATGATGATGAAAATGGTAGTGACTAGCAGCTAAAGATCCAGGAAAGCAAGCAGATGAGTTAATATTACAGATTGTTCTTATTGAACTTATGCATGAACTTCATATCTTATTTGAAAAGCTTGAAAATGAAGGAGATGAAGAAGGTTTCATGTTGTAAAAAGCCTGTTGTCCTGACTATTCTTTCCTTCTCTTTGGAGCAGAGGGAGACCAGAGGGCAAAACACAAACTACAGGAGAGAGAGAGAAGGCAAAAGTTTGTGACTTTTCCAACACCAACATCTCTGCTGCTTCTCATTTAATGGTCTGAAATCAAAATGGTTGATGCTATAAAGTGCGTCATGGGGCTGTGACAACCCTAGGAGCTAAAGAAAGGTGATTTATTACAATTCATTAAAAGATCCAAACATATTTTCTCACCTCTTCCGTCAAAAACATGATAAAAATAATCCAGAAGGAAAAATGTTTTATGCTACAGATCCAGAGGGCCTCGTTATCGCTCGCTAGCGCCCCCCAGGAAACAGAAAATCCAGACTTCTCATGATGATGTCGTGGAAAATGATGTCATCATGACATCAGAACTGAAGTTTGAGATGACACAGCACAGCTGAGAACTGTTAAAATTATAACTTTATTTTTACATGATACAAATTGTGTTTGGCCTCCTGCCTTTTCACAATAAAAGCACATTTCCATTGCAGACTGAATCATCATCATCATCATCATCATCCTCAGACAGGTATTTACAGGCACATTTACACACTGTTAGCAAACTGTACACAGTCAGTAGAAACAACTGATCCTGGAGTTCTTTTATACAAACCCTTAAAGTTTCTTTTATTTATTTTTTATTCCCTTATAGTAGAAAAAAAAAAACAATTTCGTAACAAACAGAGCTCAACCAATTAGAGCGGAGGATCAAACTGTACAGAGATCAGGTGACATGCGCATCATCACTGACAAGGCAGGTTTTAAGCCCCGCCCCTCACCTTTAAAAAGAAAGAAAGAAAATTATACTGAAGAAGCACCATAAATCTGCATCTGCATCATCATCATCAACACACGCATGCAGAAATCTATTGTGACCGAAGAACTACAACTACGGGTCAAACACAGGCTCAAAAAGCACACAAGCAAAACACAGAGTCAGAAATAGAAGAAGAAGAAGAAGAAAAGTCCAGCAGGAAGAACTGGGTCAGCAAAATCTGGTTCAGGTCTCTGGTTTGGTTCAGTTCAGTAGCAGGGACCATCATCAGAGTCCACCTGCTAGGTTCAGTCCAGCCAGAGGCCAAAAACACCGGGGACGCGCACCCAGTGTCGTCAACGCCATCCACAAAGACCAAGACGACACACTAACAGCTGAAACATCACGGCTGCCTTGAAGACCCAGCTGTGACGTCGAGCAGAATCCAAATATCCCGAGAGACGTCGACTCTTTAAACCGGGATCTGGAATTTACACCACCCTTTAATCCCGGTATGTGCAGTGAGTCCGGATCCTCGAGGGCTCCGACCGTTTTTGTGCTATAAACATTACAATACTGATGAGAACGAGAAAGCATCCACAGATTTAAAATGTGGCACTGGATGTGCACAGGCCAAGACCTGAAAGCTCTGTGGTTGGTGATTAAAACCACGCAGGGCATCAGCAGCATCCATCTACCCAGTAAAAGTGATACTGGTGAGATACATGCACAGATAAAACCCACCCCATCCACAGCCTGTTCACCCTGCTGCCATCTGCCAAGCAATGCAGCGGATCCAGCGGTGCACCACCAGATTTCTTTCTTTTCTTCCTTTTTTTCTTTCCTCAGGCTGCGATGCTGCTGAATTCATCGTCCATCCTTTTTTCACTAGTAGCATGCAGCAGCTACGTCTACAATTTCCTTTTACCACCGTGTGTTGGGTAATGGTAATAAAAATGAGCCTTCGATCTCTTAAACTTCACTCATTAGATTCGGGCAGATCTGATATCAGAGCTGTAAACTAACACCTGTCACGTGTAGCTCAGCAGATCTAAAGTAGATGAAAACGGCTACCATAACAATGGCTGTGGCAGCACCCGGTAACAACCGTGGCACGACACCCGGACCAGTGTTTCAAGTTACTCGTAGCTTCGTTCTTGAAGTACACTGCGTCCACCTAATGATAAAAAACATTTTTAACAGTTGCAACTCAGCGGAAATGCTGGGGGACATACACGCCAAGCAGAGAAAAACAGGAAGCTACAATCGCCGCAATCTGTGACCTGAAACAGCAGCCGAGCACAGCGTGGTACGTGCTGTTTGTGCTCAGGGTTTGTGGCTTTACTCTGTTGTGTTTGGTGGGGGTGGGTTCTTCTGGCATATTGTCAGGGTTTGTGTAAGTTGCTGTTGTTGTTTTTCCTTCCCTGGTTCAATACAAGTTAAGTATTTAAACTGATTTATTTTCCCAATTAGCAGGGGGACACATGATCAATAAGGCTGCTGTCAGAACAGACAGCGCCACCTAGCTGCAAGAGTGAAGGCACAGCTGGGATTAAATAAGTATAAATAGGACTTACAGTATGTACACACAATAAGTTAGTAACTAGCTAGCACACAGCCACTCTTTATCTCTTTATGTCGCTTACACAAACACACAGACACACACAAGCACACACACACACTCTTTAACTCCTCCCACAGATTTTAGATTGTTTTTTCAGCAGGTTCGACTTCAATGTTTCAGTTCAACATTCAGTGTGACTCCAGTCTCCGTCTCCACCACTGCCTCCTTTCACCTGCACAACACTGTCTAAATTAAGGACATCAGTCATTCGTAGGCTGGACTTTTGTTCAATTCCTTCAGTCCTAAGAAGCTCCAGCTGCACTCTGAGAAGCCTTCAATCACCTAAAATGCTCCAGCAAGCGTACGAGCAGGAACAGGGACCGAAACATGACAGAAAAGAGCTTCAAGGGTTCCTTTCAAGGAGAAAAGAGTTAAAAAGGTTCTTGCACACAATAGCCATAGTGACCTGCTTCTTAGCTTCATTATGGAGTTACAGGAAAACGGTTACGAACCCTTCTGTATAGACAACTCAAAAGGGGTTATTTATAACATTAAAATAATCTATGAACTTTAACAATTAGAAATAAAATGACATTAGAGCGCATATCCTTCAATGCACGTCAGCAATAGGCAGGGAGAGCAAGATAAAGACCCAGCACAGGGCAGAGCAGGCATCAGTGAAGACATATCACTTTGAGATGCACCATGAAAGGTGAAGCTGGGCTGCAAAGCAGCTTGCACATCAAAGCAACTGCGGGCAGGCTGAAGCAGTTAAAACATGCTGAGCTACCAGCTGATGTGGGTGAGGACTGTGGCTGAAGTTTGCAATTGTGGTGTGTATGAGCATGCATGACACCCACCTGATTCATAACTACTTCTGTAAGTGGTAAAAGTACTTTTTCCTTTCAGCATATCAGAGCGGAGAGATGCTGCTGAACACATCTGGTGAAATCAAAAGGATTGTCTAGAGTGAGAGTTTCCTAAAATAGAAAGAGAAGTAGAGCCAGCTCCCACTTTGGCTTTGGGAAGCAGACACCCTGTTTACTTTGAAGACTAAGCTTCAAACTCTCACTCTTCTTAAAGCTAAAGTTCAGACTGGATCATTAGTCTGGGACAGTCTAGGAGAGGACTGTCACACTGGATCCTGTTACCACTGCAGTCCCTTCCTTGGAGTCAAAAAGATGTGGATTAAATTTGTTTTCATCTCTGACAAAGATCCTCACTTGGTCACATTCAGCACTCACTGGTTTAGTTTCAAACTAAATCTAAAGCTGCGCTCATGCAAAACATATTGATGAAGCAGTCTGGACCCACACCTGTAACTGAGGAAGGCTGGAAGGACTGGGACCAGCAGGTCACTGTTAATGAGAAACTGGAGTCACGCTGAAACGTGGTTTAAATGCTCCCTGATTTTGGTTCTTTTATTGCGCTTCTTAAAACTCTGCCCAGATCGGCAACATCAGAGCTGCTGGTTTCAGTAGAAAAGGCGAAACTTACAAACAGCACGTCTGCGACCAGGAGCTCAATAATCAATACATGAGAATCTGAGTATTTCACTTGTGCTTTTTGACTCACAGACAGTAGAACAGCAGGGAACTCTGGGAAACATAGTGCAAGGCAGCAGGTGATGGTGATATTCCCTGATCTAATTGGTAAGATTGTCGTTCTCCACCATAGGCTGGTGTCAGTCGGCGTAATGCGGCTTCAGGTTTGGTTTAGGTTAGTTTAACTTTAGTTTCAGTGCTGCTGCTCTGTGAGGAAATCTAAAGACCTGGGATCTCCTGAGTCGGACTATAAAAGCTCATATATCCTGACACACACACACACAGATGCACACAGCAGGAAGACACAGTGCCACAGCAGTCCACTCATTTCCACTGCTTCAGTCTTTGTAAAGATGTTTCTTATGATTCTTCATCCCCATCCTCCATCATCCTCCTCTCCTCATTTAAGATAAAAACACATCAGAGGTCCGTGACCTTGTTCTCCACCAAGGCGGCGACCTGCTGCAACCGATAGGCCAGCTGCATCTTCTGCCCTGAACTGTCCTCCTCCAGAGACATGATGATCTGAGCAGAAGACACAGTACAGAGAGGGGGACAAGTGCAGAAGTGTAAGATTAGTCTAGTGAGCTGCTAATAACCAAATACATGTTTGTTTCTTTTTTTGTAATCTGTCATTTTAACCACTGGATTGCAAAAATGCAATGTAATCTGAATACTTCATGATTTCTTCAGAAGAAAAGAGTGCACCTGTTACCAAGTATTTTATATATATACTACACTTTATGCACTGCAAATGTATATAAAACATTTGTAGTGCAATTAAAGTGCTAAGTGAGAACTTATAGGTGTTCACAGTAAATAAACTTTATACGAACTATTCAGACACAAACTGTTTTTTAATCAGAAGACTTGTGGAGGACTCACATATTGTAGTATAAGATAAGTTTTCCTTCAGAACTACTTTTATATTTTATTTTTCCTATAAATAAAAACAAATAAAATGGCTATTTTTCACAGATTATCATGAAAAACAGATAATGATCTGGCAGCGTGGCTTACTTTGATATACTGACTTCAACATTTAGATTTATTTAGAAACAGATGTTGAGTTAAAATCAGATTTACTGTTCTGTTTCTTTTCTTGTAAATAAAATAATTTATTTTTTATTTTATTTTATTTTATTTTTAAAAAGTTATCAGGTAAACCTGACAATGAACCTGTAATCTGCTTACAATTGCTTAAAAAAAGTCAGGGCTGAAAATAGATTTAGTGAGAGGTGAAAATGCCTGTCAGACATAAGATTTGACACCCATATTTCTGTATTACACTTTCTTCTAGCTGTTTCTAAGTTCATAGTATGATGGCGCAATGTTAATGTAATGTTATAGTTTAAAGTGTACATACTGTATTAATTTATAGCAATTTGCACTACTCTCTTGCACAATGCCAGTCTTACTTCTTTACTGTTTTTTTATCACTTTTATATAAATACCATGTAGCACTCTCTCACAGTATAAGGTCCTCATTAATAGGTGGCACCTTTATTTTAACTATGTTGCTTATTTATTGTAGACTCCATTATTTTTATTTTTATCCTGCTGCTGTAACACAATATTGATGCCACAAGGGAAATTAAAGTATTAAAGTATCCATCCATTGATCCGTCCATCTACATTGATCCCAATAGCATCCAAGCCATTACCAGCCAATAGCCTGTGTGTGTGTGTACATGTTTAGACATCTATGTGAGGACAGAAAATTTGCATGCTACTAAAATTGTGGAGACCAACAGTCACTTACGGGGACAAAATACCCATTCCTACGAGTTTGAAGGCATGTTTGAGACTCAAAATGTGGTTTTAGTGTCAGGTTGAGGGTTAGGGTTAGGCATTAATTTTTGATGGTTAGGGTTAGGGGCTAGGGAAAGCATTATGCCAATGAGATCTCCTCACTAAGATATAAAAACGAGTGTGTGTATTACCTGATCATAATATTTGTTGATGTACTTGTAGAGCTCATGAAGAGCCACGAGATTGTTCATTTCTGATGCAAAACTCTGGAGGCAGACAAGCAAAGACAGTTTTAACATCAGTTTTTCTTACAGTTGAATTTCAGTATTTCAGGCTCTGTTCAGTCTGTGTTTACTGACCCCAGAAAGTTCAGTCAGAGTGGAATTCATCTCTTGATAACAGCCTGACGCAGCACTGTGGATGTCACTGTAATACCTGAGCGCATACACAGAAAGTTATCAGTACTGCGGCTCTCGGGCTCAAAGAATCATCAGCTAAATTAGATCTTATCTTCCCCACAGCATAAAAACAGTCTCTCTGTAGTGCATTATGAGTTAAACAATGGGGACAAGAAGCTGTCTCACCTTTCCACCAGCTGTTTGTATCTCGGGATCTCTCTGGCGTACAGCAGCTTGTTTACAGGCGAGTCCTGATTGGAGAAAAAGTAACCATGAAGCCTAGAAAACAAAATCAAAAAACCAAAACCAATACATAGCCAGGCTGAACAAGAGACAGAATTTTTACCCGTCCCACTTTGTGCTCAGAGGTGGTGCAAGAGTCTATGAAGGTCTGAGCGATGACAGACAGAACGGCGTCGATGCTGTCGGTCACCTGAACGTCCAGAACGAACTGAGGGTTCTTCAGGATGTTGACCCAGAACCTGAGAGGGAGACTGGAGGGAGAAAGACATGGGTCAGAGAGATGGGAAAGGGGTGAGGGAGTTGTGGGAGTTGAAAATCTCGATCAGATAACCAGATGTGTGGCCCACCTGTTGGTCTTCCAGATGTGGACAGTTTCTGGGTCGTCAATTCCATGTTTCTCAGCCATGTCGTCCAAAAAGTCGAAGAAAAACCTCACGGCGATCGGAGGAGGACGCTTTGTACTGAGTATCGCCACAAACACGTCATCCACAAACTTTTGCAATGTCCCCTAGGGAGAGACAGAAAAGTAAAGCTGAAGGACAAATAGCCAGGCGGTCAGTTCTCTGGGGTGTATTTGTTTGTACTTATCACATGCCAAGGACAGCTACCTCATAGAATGGAGACCAAATAAATGAGTCTGCACAAAAATAACCTTAAATTTAACAGGTATACCTGTAAAGGTTTTAGTGTTTATCCCACACACTCCTCAGACCAAGAGTTTGTCTGTGGAGGTGTGTGGTGGAGAGTTAACTCTTTGCCGCCCCCTAGTGGTAGAAGATGGTATGGCAACAACACGCACACACTAATATCAGGACACACACACACACATCTATTTTGCACATATCTCCACCATGTGAAATTCATTTGCTGTTTAACCTCCAGAATCAATGGTGCCCACAATGTCTGACGTCCCCACAATGCCTAAAGGTAAGAATATGTGTGTTACCTTCATGGACAGCAGCCTGGTCAGGTAAATCTCTGGGATGGCCTTGGCTCTCTCCCTCTCCCTCATACTGCTCTTTCTGTGTTTTGGGATTTCAGGATCTTCACTGCTCTTCACCAGGTGCCATAGACGGAGACCCTCCTCCTCCTCACCCTCCAGCATTGGCGTTTCTGCAGCCACCATAAAGAGACGGTCAGCCACCATGTTTTGGTGTAATACTTTTACACCAAAGTTTTATTTTTCATCTTTTTTGTGCTACATTAATTTTAATCTCTGGGAGTATTCGATTTTAGGGTTTTACATTATATTTTTAAATATTGAGATATTCTGTTAAGATGTGTTTCTTACTCTCTCCAGTTTGGAAGACCTGGTTGACTCCCACTCCACCTGAACTTTGAGAACGAGGGATGAGAGCGACCGTGGCGCCGTCGGGAACCTGAAGAACCAAAGAGCAGAGAACGATGTGAACAAGGAGATGGACAACTGGAAGGAGGAGCAGAGAAGGTGGTGGTGGTGGAACACGATTGGCCAGTTGTTTTCACCTTATAGTGCTGCAGTGTGTTGAGTCGTTTCCAACGACCTTGAACCACTGCTGTGACATCATCATCCGACAAGGTCAGATGACCTGCTTGGCCTGAACGCCACTCTATTGACAAAGAAACAGGTACATATGAGCTGCCAGTCTGGATCTACGGATATGATGACACTATGCATTCGCAGATCCACTAACCGAATATTTAAAACACCCACTAATGCTTCGGCCAATTTAATCTCCTACTTTCAGAAATCTCAAACAACAGATAGGTGAGACAGGTGTTTACCGAGGTCAAGACTGTCAGCTGATGGTCTCTGAGAGAATGGAGCTCCTCTGTAGACCTGATCCAGAATCTTATCTTTCACCTGAACACAAGCAGACAGCAAAGTGACAAAGGTATTTAGAAATCCCAGTGGAATTAAGAATATAGACGACTACTTCTATGAATCTGAAATTAAATGCTGCAGTGAAATTTTGTAGTGTAGTGCAACAGAAAGAACATGCCACCAGAGGGCACTTTTTATCGATGGATCGATGTAGCTGAGCTCAGTGAGCTGTGAAAAATAGCGAGACTGGGAGGGGCTTACATTGCAGAAGGT